ATCTGGTTACCTAATGACTCATGGATTTGATAATCCATTACTTTTGGATTACCTTAAATCTACCAAAATTTTCATTTATCAATAAGTATTGAAAAATTTCAAGAGAGTTGTAAAAGAACGGATAGATAGTGGATTGGTTTACTTCTGAAAAACAGGAGATCAAACTATGAAAAAACTCATAGAGAAATTAAAACAAACACTTGGAGGGCATGAAAATAAACAAAAGAAACCAACAAAGAAACCAAAAAGTTGTGCATATAGATCTTTACATTCTTTGAATCTTATCAATACTTTTGTTGGTATCAGTTTTTTTCGTATTGACAAAACTAAAAACAACATAATTCATCTAATTGCTTAATGGGTCATGATTTTGAAGGTTTCCATGAAACAAATAAAAAAAAGCAATGCATCATTTAATTACATAAGATTTTTTTTTTTTTAATTTTTTACTTCAAATTGATAAATTTTCGACCTCTATAATCGTACAATGATTTAGTAAGTAGTTTAATGACCATAAAACATGGAATTATGACTAATTTGAGTAATTTCAATGAAAAATAAATCAATCCTAAACCTTAGAAGAAAGAAAAGAGATTAGATCAATAAAGCATCATGTTTACCCGGCGTATACCTAGAATAGAACGTTGTTTTGGACAGAATTTGTAGTTAACAGTTTGTGCAAATCACATAGCAAAGAGAATTTTGGTTGTACCGAACGGTGATGATGGTGGATACCGAGAAGGAGAACCACAACCTTCGATATTCTAACGACTTTAATGTATAAGGAGCTAGGGATTCCATACAGAGTCGGGAAATTTCCAATGTAAAGAGACAATAAGGCGAAATCAGTTGATGATTTAGAAGGATTTATGAAAATAATAGCGAAAAAAGCAATTGATTTCTAGGTTCATTGGTTCGCTCCATTCTTTGGAGTTCGTTGTTGATCTTTTTTCTTTCTATATATATCATTCTTAATAAATGAAAGTTTTTTTTGCCACATGTCAATCTCTCATAAGTTTTAACACTTATCATTTTATGGTATTTTTGAAATAAATATTATTCACTTGTCAATTTTTGATTTGTTTCAATTTTTAAAATTTTAGTCATGCTTATATATATATATATATATATATATATATATATATATATATATATATATATATATATATATATATACTAATAAATAAAACTCATTTTCTGCCACATGTCATGTCCTCATTAATTTGGACACATGGCATTTTAATAGATTTTTAGAATTTATTTATTTCCACATGGAATTTTCTGATTTGTTCACATATCATAACTTATTTCGGTTACAATTGAGAGAAATAAATGTTTCCTTGAAAAAGAAATGATATATTTATAATGTAATAAATGACATAATTAATGAGAGCTCTAAAATTGATATTGATATTAAATTTAATGTTTAAATATTGATATTATATTTTTATTTTTAATAAACCCGTGTAGTACACGAGTCTTACACCTAGTTATATAATAAATGAAGGTTTTTTTGCCACATGTCATTTTCTAGAATTTTTAAATTTTCTATTTTCTAGAATTTTTAAATTTTCTATTTTCCACTTGTCATTTTATTGTATTTTTCATTTTATTAAATTAAAATTCCACATTTAATATGTAAGGTAATATATATGTAAAGTATTTATTAGAAATGGTTTATATATGTAATGTATTCAATACATTAAAGTCTCATTAGTTTTAATAATTCAAAATTTTTCTTATTTTTCTTATAAATTCAAACTATTCAAATTATTAAAATTTCATATTAATTGTTTTAATTAAACCCATGTAATGCATGGGTCTCACACCTAGTTATATATATATATAAAGTTGTATATTAAAAAATATTTTCTGTTTATATTTTAATTAATGTTTAATTTTTTTAAAATCAACTCGTATAATTGACACCTAATCATTATTATATATAAAAACCTTTTTTTTATTGTTGTGCTTTCTCAAAACAAGTTGATAGTGTTCTAACGCCTACACGTAATCTACTTCTAAACGTCGCATTTCCCCTAAACATCGACTTAATCCTTCTCGATCGTCGCATCTATTCTACCTTTAAAGGACACGACATTATTTAAGTTTCGAACAACGCAATGTATAGTAACAGCGTTCCACAATGTCGATCCCCACCGGTCCACCACTTTACATTGTTCTGCCCTTATCTGCCTTCTTATTCAGGTTTGGAGTATGCCATTTTGCTTCAAATTGGATTCATTTTCCTTACTGATGTAACCATTTTTCCAACAAACACAGATACCCTCTGCAATCATCCACCGATTCTTCTTCAATTTCATTTCGTTTATCCTTGTAAAGAACAAAATTGATCTAATTCAAAAAATAAACTCGTCCTTGCCTTTCTATTTTAGTTTTCCTCTTGTCGATTTTCCTATTCCCCTTTTAGGCTCTATTTATTCATCTAATCTAACCCTATCACACAGAAGATGGCACTAGCGGCAATCAGGGGAAAGCAAATTGGTCTAATTCAGGATTCACAGGGGTTGCGTAGGTACTTCTATTTATCAATTGTTAATATATTTCATCCATCTTTTGCTTCTTTGTTCCACCACTACTTCCCCTTTATATGTTTTCATAAAAGAACAACCGATCTTAGCTTTCTCAATACACTATTATTACACCAGGGTGTCACAATTGAGATAGGTATACACCACTGCTCCTCCTCTCAACGTGGATTTCATGTTCTATTTTGCATAATTTCTTGTTTTTGGCATGTTATTTTGTATATGAAGAGATAGAAAGAAAAACAAAGAGATAGAAACATGTTCGATTCTTTCCACTTACTACCCGGATCGTTAAATTTTCTCTTTATTTCTATTTCCCATGGTATATTTTTAAGAACCCAAATGTTGCATCTATTTCACTTGGATAGATCTCATTGTCAATTTGAGGTGTAAATCAAAAGAAGTGTTTTCATTTGGAGTGTGTTCCATTTACTTTGAAGACTCTAATAAATTCATTTGGTTTAATGATTTTGAAAAGTTCTTTGGGTGATGAAACCATATGAAAGCTTTGTCTTCAAGCATAGTTTCATGATGCACATGAAGTGTTTGATGAAATGCTTGAAAGAGGTGTCCGACCCATTATAGTGATTTCCTGTTATCAAATGAGCATTTTTATAAGTTAAAACTTAATTACGTCATCTCTTTGATATAGAGGAAAACTTTATTATGACTTGAATGAACTCCTTCGCCCTCTCATATCACCTTCATTTTAGTTCAGCCTAACATGACATTTACATAGACTCTTTTTAACCCACCGGCTTTGCAAATCCAATCACTAACCTCCACCCCTCATTGGGACTCATCATTACATTATCCAAACATGATTCTTGATAATTGTAGGTATAAAAATCATGATCAATTCATATGTTTAAATTGACATTTCGAACTTTTTAATCAAGAAATCGTAAGTTGCAGAGCATGAAGAAAGGTTATGCTTCATCGAGTTGTTCCTGAATCAGTAAGTACAGTTCCTTATATCCTATACATACTACTTAAAATTAGTATTTCTAAGGATATGTATCAAATGGGATCTAAATTTAAATTTAATATGTTTTTCGAGCAAATGTTGAGAGTATGGTAAATCCAGCTTTTCTATAGCTCCTACAGACAGCATGACATTAAAAAGTGATAGTGAAATCAGAATAAAATCATTTAGGAGGCAACGTTATAATGTTGGGGGTACTTCCAAATAGATTAGTAGCAGATATTGAGTATTGTAAATCCAGTTTTTCTGTAACTCCCTCAGCCTATGAAAATTACAAGAGTTTGAATTTTGTTATGGCCAATATCAGTTGCAACTTTTTCTAGGCAAAATTTTAAGTTGTGCTTGACTATTTCTCTATTTTTAATGTAAAGAATATTAGATTATAAAATTAAAATGGTATTGAACAACGTTCTCCCTTTTTCATTATTCAAGGGTATTTTAGACAATTGAAGTACATTTTGTATCTGGGTTTTGACATTTAATAAGGAGTCATTTCAAGTAACCCGATTAACAAAGAGGAATAATATATATCCTTGTTTTACCAGTGACTTAATTTTGAACTTACGTCTCAAATATGGGAGATAAGATAATTGGTGGAGCATACATTAATGATCTAGAATGTGTCTTTTGTTAGCAAAATTTTGAAGTCTCTCAACTACTCGATATCTCCAAGAAAGAAAGAAAGAATAAAGAATATTTGGGTTGTTCCTTTTTAACTTGATGCTAACATAAATGTGGTGACGACATATGAATGTATTTTTTTTATTTAATATAGAAGAACATGTGTAAAGGGTTAGACCGAGAAAGGATCACATAAATGTATGTGGAATTATTAAAATTTTTGTTTTATGTTTTTTGGTTTGCTTCTTCAATGACAATTCGACCACTAACTTAATAATCTTTCTATTGTTCAGGTATTATAGTAACGACTAACATTATGTCATTATGATTCTTCTTAAATCTTTTACTGATTGATGTTACTAATAAGGTGTAAACACATTATTCTACATGGCATGCGAGAGTCTATTTAGTTTGTGAAATTTTCATGAATAGTCTTGAAAGTGTTTGCAAGTAATGTTTTTTTGGCACAATTTCTCAAAATTGCAAATATGTATTGAGTTTGTGCAATTTTCCCTATCTATTCTTCAAATATCAACCAGTCACTAATCACTATAAACATGATGCACTTATTGTAGGTTGCATTACCGGCAATGATGAAAGATACGGAAAACTAGATCTGTCGACTCCTTTTTATGACGAGAGTCCTTGCAGAAGATAGAAAAATAATGCAAGAAACTGGAAAGTCATTGCTATTGTTAAGTTGGTAGTTTTTTTATGGGAAATTGCAATTTACTTGCATATATATATATATATATATATATATATATATATATATATATATATATATATATATATATATAGAATCACGACAATAAAGTAAACCTATTGTTGTTATTGGATATTGTTCAGTCATAACTGTCTCGGCTTCTTCTGAATGCTTTCTTTTGTGAAATGACCTTCTTACCCTGCAGCCTCTTCTGCTCTGCTACAGCCGCACTGCATAATTTTAATTTTTAATACCCCAAAACAAAACAAATTTATTTATAAACAAATATTCAATTTTTGAAAGTAGAAAAAAAAAATTTAGGGTAATATTTACATTTTGGTAATTTTCTTTACTTGCTCTTCTGATGGAGGTGGCGGGACGTATGAAGCAGCATCAATGATCGCCTTCAATTTCATGCACCATTATATTCATTTCAATTAAATCATAATTTTTGTATTTTGTACAGAAAAAATAAATAAAAGATTGTTGTTTTTGGTACCTGTAGTTTCTCCAAGGCATCCTCGATGTTACCCCTGAAGAGAAAAAAAAAAAAAAAAAAAAAAGTTTTAGGAATGAAAATTGGTTGTGAAGAAAACAATGAAAATATAAAATCGGATAGAATTTAGCTTCTGTGTTCTGGTCTTTGTGGAGGAAATCACAAGCTCCCCATCTTTGTTGATTCGATTCTTTTCCTGATCAAACAACATAAAAGAACTTATTTATTTTTTTTAATAAATATTTTAGGCATGCCATGATTACAGAGAGTATCATAAAGAATGATAATGGAGCAACACTAACCATTTGTAGAATTTTTTCTCTGACCCTGTCACGTAACCAATATGCTGCCTTAACATTAAACCTCATATCAACTTTTGTGTTTACTGTAAACAAAATAACTGCAGTGAAGAAGGGTAATCTTGGTATAACAAGAACAAAAAGAAAAGTTTGAAATGTGAGAGTAGTAAAGGCAAGTGCAATGTTGTTGAGGGTTGAAAGAATTATAAGAAGTCAAACCTTTGTTGACATTTTGACCTCCAGGTCCGCCACTTCTAGCAAAGCTCACGTTCACGTGATCTAAATCACAAAAAATAAATGGAGCTTTTAAAAAGTAATTAATAGTTGTTGCATCTACTCTTAAAGTCTAAACTAAACTAAATCAGCAAACAAAAGATAGATAATTAATCAACAGTTTCAAGTCATTCCATTCCATGAACCCTTAAAACGTTTCTTCTAATTTACATGATTGTATAATTAATCAAATCAAGAGGCAGATTATATAGTTTTGGTAATTTTATCAAAAGTGGATCTTCCTTAGTTAGGTGTTCCGTTTTACATCAGCTAGTGATATATTTTTACAGAAATTAAGCTCATAAGATAAACAGCAAAAACAATTTATCCGATTAGGAAATATAATTCAATTATTAGAGCATTACCTAGAGTAATCTTAGGGATAGGTTCGTCGCCTCCAACAGCCCTCTCAATGGCTTCTTGCAATTTCTGCTGAACCTGAGACATTCGTGCGGACGCCTTCTTATTACCGCTGCCATCGGAATCGGAAGCCGCGGCACACCGGATCGGGGAGTAACTGACTGGACGGGAAATGAACCGGAGCGGAGTGGGAACGATGCAAACGAGTTTGTAGCAGGTGCGGATAGAAGATGGTAACTGTAATGGCCGGAGAATCTCCCTGACAACAACTGTGGCGGTGATTCTAATTGCCGCCATCGAGACAAACCGAATTTCAAAACGCACGTCAAGATTTTGTCATAGACAATACACACGCAAACGAACAGAGATTAACGGGGAATCTTTACAAACCACTAACCAAGTTTAAGAGATAGGGTTTATTTTTCTGTGGACTAATGTCAAAAAGGTTTACGTTATTTTTATTTTGGGAAAATGACACCTTAGCCCTAAGTTGTTTTATACATTTACCCATTGAATCTCTTAAATATTTTACGTGCTTTATCTGTCTTTTTAGTCCTTCTAACCTATATTAGCCGGTTTGATGATCCGCGTATTCATTTCCTCATTTAGAAGTCAAAACACCATTTGTTCTTGTCTCAAAATTCATTAAAAAATAAAAAATCGGAGACACACCCTCAAAATCAAGCCCTCCCTAGAACAACAAATCATTTGTGGAACTAACTCGGGTTCAATTTAATCATAGTGGTTATCTACTCGGTGTTAATGGTGTTTTAGCTACTCTCTACTTCCTGAGCAGACTGAAGAAGGTTTACCTTGTTGAATTCTCTTGTTACAAACATGATGGCCAAAGGCAAGTGAAGGTTGGTTTCATTTACTCATATTCAACTTCAATTTTGAATTTTGAGCAACACCTAAATGGTTGTATATGCATAAAAAAAATATCTAATCACAAACAAATAAAACTGCTTAAAAAAAGTCCAAATTCATAGCAGTTTTTCCATCTATCTTTGAGGTCTCCTTCAATAAACAATTCGACCAGAAGAAGATAGGATAAAGAATTACGCGACAACAGATAGGACTACAAACAAGAACAATTGGTTCCATGTTACCAAATTCTGAATGAATAGCCCTGTTTCCCCAATTACTATAAAAGCCACGGTATTACAATCATTAGAACTTTCTTCCCCTTCTCTTGCAAGAATGGTTTCAGAAAACAACCATCCAGTACCGATCAACACGATCACGGTGAATAAAAGCACCATCTGCAAGAATTGAAATGTGTAAAACAATACATCCATGAATTTTTTATCTTATATTTCTCCTCCGCCGCACATAGTAAGTTGAGTGATTTCACGATCGCCAACACGGCCATCAAGAAATGGATCCGATGAACGGATCATATGTTGTTAAAATGCATACATAAAATGGTATACTTTTTGTAACAAATTGAAACATGAGTATACAAAAACTCCTTCCAAGAAACAAACAGCATCGACTATGCCAGAATCACAAACACTTGTAATATGAAATCCAAGGTTGTACATCTTTGATCCTACATATATCTAACATATAACACTTTATACCCAAAATCAACAACCTACTCAATGTCTCCTAGGCTTTGAGGATTGTGCATGCTCACCTGCACCCAATCGTCTTCTCCCACTTGAACTTGAAGGCAGTACCCAACCACCCCTTCCTTTCCACGCCTCTTCAAACCCATTAAGTTCATCTGCCAACCATATTTAATTATTTACATCTGGTTATCAATCATTTTATAAAAAAAAAAAAAATGAATTACAAGATTATTAAAAAATATATACCTTCGTTGATGTTATGCAATGTTTGCATTGTATCCACCTGTCCATCTGATTTTAGATGCCTTGAAACAGTGTGACCCTAACGTCACAAACACCTTATTATTAGCTTCCCATGCATAATAATATATAAATAAAAAAGACGATCACAATTGCAACAAATTAATAATACCTTATCATGGATTCCTCTTGAAATTCTATGAGCTGCCTCACCACTCACTGAGTCAGCTTCTTTATATTCTTCAAATCTCACCTGAACTCCCATATATAAGTATATAACAACACCATTAAAATATTAGAAAAAAGGTTGCTTATAGTTTACTTACACCATCACTTCCAGCCCTTCTAATGGTAGATGAAGTATAATATGCTCCATTAGAACCTCCATATGTAACACTGGAGCTTTGAAAGGAAAAGCTATGAGCTAGTGGACGTGAGCGCACATCATGCATCACACTCAACTGACCTTCTGGTTCCTCTTTTTCATCATCAGAGTTGAGTTCTTCAATGATTGGACCCCTGGAAGTGTTTGGCATGTGGTCATAAAGTGTAGGAGTGTGTGCATGTGCATCCATGAAAGGACTTGTTCCATTTGGAGGGAATAAGCTTGACCCAAATGGGGGTACACCAATGAAAGGACTTGGCTGAAACATTCCATTTCCACCAAATGGTTGTGTGAAGAAAGGGTCATCAAATGGGTCTCTTCCCCCAGACCCAAATAGGCTAGGAAATGGCATACCCCCAAAACCAGAGAAAGAGAAAGGATCGTCTCTTCCTCTTCCTCTCCCTCTCCCTCTTCCTCTCCCACCTTGCATCTTCTTTAAACTGTCTACCTGAAAAAGATTGAGGTTGAACAACTTTCTTCAAATCTCTCCCATCAAACAATACAATCCCCTAAATGATGAAAGTGAAGTGCTACGACAAAACTGCTCATCTTCAACCTATTTTCGAATGTTTTTGGTTATCGATCAGGCACAAGCATTAAACAATCTAACAACCAAAAGCAGAATTGTTAATTTTGCCTGATAACAAGTGTTTGCAGACGAAAACTGTTGATTGTTAATTACGATTTCTAATCTATAAAATTGATCATCATGAAAGGTTTAACGCAAAGTCGAATTATGTACAATCATGCATGCAAAGAATTAGAAAAGAAGCCATAGAACTATAGTAATCAAAACCCTAGAGAGATGATGATAAAAAGAAAACATGAAATTAGTGGTTAACATGAAGGAAGGAGAAAGTTTGTGGTAGTAATGGGCTATGAAAATTAACAACTAACAGTTTTCTTCTGCGAATTTGAAAGAACAGCCTTTCTCTCCAACGATTGATCGTCATAAAGCCATTACATAAAGAGGAAAATCACATAAAGAACACGCAATATTATCAATTAGCATAGGTTGATCTAAATCGCTTATTATCATTAAAAAAACAAGTGACAGATCATAAAACCTATACCAAAAATGCAGATTGAAATAGGCAACCTATAAACGGAATCAAAACCATGGAGAGATACCTGCGGAATGAATTGAACACCAAAATTCAGTGATTATTAGGAGAGAAATTGGGAGTTAGAGATAGTTGAAGGCAATGCGTTTTGGGGTTTCTGCGAATCGAGCAAAACGGATGTCAGGAATCGATGCCAAAGAAAAAGATGGAGAGCAACCAACCCGGTGAACGTGACGCTAAGGTGTTTTCTGGATTTCTGGTAGTTCATAAAAGAAAATATATATATTTTTTAATTTACTTAATTATGAACATATATATAAAAAAGATACTAAATTAGAGTTGTTTTATATCTCCCTATCTAATAAACAAAACCAAAAGTCCATGTGTCCCTTCAAAACAACTGAATTATGCCAATGTTAAATACCAATTATACCCCTTCTTTGTTTCACCTAAAGAATGATATAATGACGTCCTGATTTGTTTCAATTTTTACTCAGTTAAAACAGTTGTGCATATTAACTCAAAATTAAACTGAAATCCATTACATACGTGATTAATAGCATGTTATTATGGTATTCGATTTCGTATATAAGGTATGATATCAATAATATTTAAAATTCAATATATACTTCAATTGTATGATATCAATCGTTCCTTTACAGCATCGTGTTTATCTGGTAATTGCATCATCACAGTCAGAAATCCTCTCTTCAATCACAAAGTTCAATCTAATTGGTAAGTTATGCATTTGACTACTTTAATCTTTTTTCCATACAACCCCTGTTTGAAGATATAAATGTATGCGGTTGACTACTTCCTTATCTATCTCTATGTCTTGATTTGTTCTATGTCTGGTAAAAGTTCTGGAATATGAAACCAGTATGATCTTATCTGCAACTCCATAACTTAATTAACAGTTAAATGTTGTATAAAACAGTTTTAGACAATTCTTTCAAATGCATCAATCTACCGCAATATATCGTGGGATTCAAACTCAACCTTTATCAAATGTTGTATAACACAGTTTTTCTAATATGATATAATAGCAAATCATAAAAGATTTGAATGAGCGTGTAAGTGCATTCAGTGTCATGAAAGTTTAGACTAACCAATACACCACCATACATTCTATTGAACTCTCCAAAAGTTTAGTTTGAATATAGGATTAAGTAGCACCTCAAAAATTACAAAAATGACCGTTTTGCCCATGGTCATACATATATAGCCACACACACACATAGACATATTATATATAATTGTTTGAATAAAATTATATATTTATTGTTTTTACAACAATTATGAATAAGTAATTGTATGTAATCCTGTTTAACAAAAAATATGCTTAAGCTATGTTATTGTATGTGTGTTTTGTCCGAGAATATTGTGCTGACTTTAAATTTTTTTTTCCAGAAAAATAGAAAGTGGATAGTAAAAGGATTTAATGAATTTTGTGTGTCTTTTATTGGAGAATAATGTGCTGTGTTTCAAAGAACTTTCCATAAAAACAGAAAATCGACAATAAATTTTGTATAATATGCAAAAAAAAAAAAAAAATTGATCTGTATCTTTATTTTCTGATTATTTCATTTCATTTTTTATTTTCATGTAACAGTTACTACACTTTCGATTATTTCAACGTATATGCGTGTGTGTGACTGCTTAACTGTTTATGGTCATGTGTATATGTATTTATTTTCTTGATATACCCCTACCCCTGCCATTGTTGTCACATGATACTCTTGCTATTTCTGTTTAATATTAACAATCATGTTGATATCAAAATTCATGTGTCTCGCTACGGTTTTGTTCTTACATGGTTATAGTGATATCAATAACGAAAGTATTACTTTTAACATGAAACTTTTAGTAACATTTTTTTTAATTGTTGTATACCATTTTCTAAGATGATTTTAAAAGACGAGGGTAATCAAGAACTTCTGATATGCTTCCCTAAAGACTTGAGAAAATTTATTTGCTTTATTTCAGCTTTGTGTATGAAAATATCTTTTCATTTAATGCTTAACTATTATTGTTAACTTCAGCTTTGTGTGTGGAAAATATATTTTTATTTAATGCATAATTATTATATTATTGTTATTATTGGTTATGATTTTTTGTGACTAAACGAAAGTAGATGAAATGACTGATAACAAATAAAATTGACATCATAAAGAAATAAACAAAATAACAAAATGTAATATTAGATTTTATATTAGTTTTGTTGTTTTCTATAATAATTAAATATAACAAATACGTTTAGCATATTAAATACATCATTAAATTATATAAGATAATAATGTTATAATTTAATATTATTATATAAGATATTTTTAATTTTTAATAATACAATTCTACATTTTATAATCTCAATCCTGAAAAAAAAAAAAGTAATCATTTTATTCAATCCGCGATATATAAGTCAATTTTAATTATACATTATACATTCTAATAATAATATCTTTATACTTGTGAAAGTTATATTTGTTGGATAAGGTGTCTAAGTCCATAACTATTTCTGGTATGTACTTGACCCGACCCGGCATGGTCCATTTGGGTTGCATGGCACCATGCAATTGGATAGACTAAATGAGAGAAATAACGCTTGGAGATTATTAATATATTATAAGTTCTAATATATTAATAATATTATTTGATTAGTTTGATCAAGAATTAATTTAGAATTAATTAAGTGATCAAAAGATAACTAATTAAATATATGGGTTGATTAAGTAAATCATCCATATCTTGTATAGTGGGCTAAAAGGCTCCATGGATCATCAAGTTGGGTTCCACCCATAGGATGCTCCATGGGAGTTACAAACCCATGGGTCATGGAAATGAAGAGTCATGACACATTAGGGTTTAACCCTAGATGTGTCAACACTATATAAGTAATATGATCTCCTCCCAAATCGGTTACACTAAGAAATAGAGGGCTTGGCCGATTTTGAAGTGAGTATTCTCTCATAAGTTCTTCCAAGAGCATTTGGTGTTGTGTGAAGCATTTGAGGCATCACACTTGGGGTGCTAGGCTCACAAGGTTTCAAGGAACACAAGCAACAACAAGGTAAGTTATTCTATCTATACTTTATGTTAAAATTGTTCCCCATGTATGCTAGATAGGAATATAACCTTGGAATTCAACTTTGCATGACAAATTAGACAAACATAGATCCAAGGTTATTAGGGTTGCATGTACACTTAGGAAGTGTTAGAATGCTCAAAACCCATCAGTGGTATCAGAGCCTAGGCTTGTTTGTTCTTATTTGTGCTTAAAAGTTGAAAACAGAATCGAAATTTGCTGTCTGCGAACGGACTCGTCGAGTCTATAGGGGGGACTCGTCGAGTCCATGTGTATCTTCAACCAACTCGGCGAGTCATGTTCATGCACTCGGCGAGTAGGGTCGAATGAGTGCAGAATTTCGATTCAGTTGCTGGAAAATGAATTAGAAACATTACCCTAAACTGTTTTAGTAAATGTAAACTTGTTTTTGGTGGTGTAATGTCTTTGCTAATTCATTTACAACAACTAGTTATCAAAATTACAAAGTTTTATGTAATTTTTGATTGTGTTCATATTCATGTTCTTGTTCTTATGATGTTTTAGATGATCATAGGAATTATTTGTAACCTATTTGGTAGTTTAATTCTTGATCATAATGTGTTTTAATGGAGTCCATAACTTATCCTTAAGTTATGGAAAACCAAGAGTCACACTTGAGTTAAAACCATTAAGAAAACACAAGAGTTATAAAAATGAAGAGTCTTCATTTTATGACTCTATTAAACTCATAAGTTACAAGAAATGAAAAGTTTTGAAAGTTACAAAACTTGCCCTCAAGTTTTGGAACAAGTAAAGTTAAGTTAAAACTTTAGTTCCAACCCCTAGAATTTTAAAAGTTAAAATTCAACCCTTATACTTATATTATGATGATTTAATAATATATATATATATGTATAAGAACAAGTCGTCTTACCGCTAGTACGCCTCATTCACGAAGCCGGTCTATAAGGTGGGTATAAGGTTGTTGCCTATAAAATGGTGACTTAATGGGTGTATATTCTCACCCACCGCTTGCTTGACTGGTGGAGGGTCGTTAGCCGAACGGGTAAGACAAGGACTTATAAATTCTCATTCAAAGTATGATGAATATATAAAGTAACTAAATGTTTATTAAATTCCCAATCTTAGTTACTTTAGGAAAAATGTGAATAAGGTGCTAATCCATGAAATTACACTTTACACTTTGTCTGAGTCGTTGGTGGAGCGTGTGTGGTTAACCGGCACACTAACTTGGACTTAACAAGGTAGGTAAAGGGTGACTTAAGGTTTATTATAGTATCGGTGGAGCGTGTGTGGTTTACCGGCACATCGATTGAGTGATAAACTTTAAGGGTACCAAGTGATTTGCATGGTTACTTCACACCTCGTTTTGTGATCCTCGGCATCCCAGTCACAAAACCTGGAGGGCACTCCCGAGATTGAAACATGCCTTTGAAAAGTTCATTGGATCTCAAAGAATCTAGGAATTTCTAAAACCAATAAAAACTAAATATTTAATATTTCGGTTTTCGTGGTGGAAATTGGTGAATCGTCATTCACCTACCTTTCAAATATGGTATAGCTTAGATTACGGCATACCTCTTCTAAGTTATATTATATTGTGATTGGATCCTAGCCTTAATATTACATTTGGGTGTTTTATTAAGGACTCTCTTAAATCTAAACTAAACTTGTTCTTCTTTTTCAGATGTCTTCAAATAATGCTTCTGGCTCGAATCCTAATGGCTCCTTTACTCTTATGAGTCTGTGTGGGAAAGTCACCTTTGATGGATCCAACTTCAATAAGTGGATCAGAAACATCAGGATGATTACCCGCTACGAGGACAAAGAATATGTCCTTGACAAGGAGCTTAAGGAAATTGACGAGTCCACTGCAACTCCCCAGGAGATCGCTGACTTTCATACTCATGAAAGAGATGCAACCAAGGTGGCTTGCATCATGTTAGCCACCATGACAGCTGAACTCCAAAAGTCTTATGAAGACTTCTACCCTTATGAAATGCACCAAGATTTGATGGAAAGATACCATCAAAGTGCACGACAAGAGAGGTACGAAGTCATCTGCTCCATGATAACAACCATGATGAAGGACGGAGAGTCCGTCACGAGCCACATGCAGAAAATGCAAAGGTATGTGGATCGTTTGCTGAAGCTCAATGTGAACTTCCCTGAGGAGCTTGCAATAGATATCATTTTGCACTCCTTACCATCGTGCTATGATCAATTCCGCATGACATATCACAT